AAGGGTGCGGGCGTTTTTGGACAGCAAGAACATGAAACCTGGGGACAAGTTGTTGGAGGAGATTGAAGGAGCGATTCGTAATTGTGAAGTGGGAATCGCGGTGTTCTCGCCGCGGTATTGTGAGTCATATTTTTGCCTGCACGAACTTGCCCTGATGGTGGAGAAGAAGAAGAAGATCATCCCCATTTTCGTCGATGTACGGCCCTCTCAGCTTCGTATAGAATACAACCAAAGCTGCCCCGATAAAGAGTTGCAGAGATTCAACTCCGCACTCGGTGAAGCCAAATACACCGTCGGCCTCACTTTCAACTCCCTGACGGGGTAACTCTCAAAATTATTTTTTTCTAATACAACCTGTAGACCTTAATTAATTAACAAAAGCATTATATAAATTGATATATAAAATGTCAATTTTTGTTGTTTTTTTTTTCTTAGGGATTGGTCGGAGCTGCTGAGGAAAGCTTCAAACGCCGTCATTGATAATCTGATCGGCGGTGAAGCGGGAGAGATGCCAGATAATTAGGCGACGTAAATAATGGTGCATGCATGCACCATCAAATCTGCTTCAAATTAACCAAATACACACTTTTTTCTCTTCTTCTTCTTCTTCTTCTTGTCTTTTTTTTTTTTCAATTCGTTATTTGTAAAATAGGGGTTGGGATGGTTCTGATTAACACAACAATTCATTTTGTTTGATACACTTTATTCAGAGAGATGCAATTTCTTCTGTTTTTTTTTCCTTTGGTACCAAATTATATGTCGGTACACATGTCAAGATTCTGTCCTTATGTACTATTATGCAATAAAAATTCGTTCAAATTCTTTGATAAATATGTGTGTGTTTTTGGTATACACATTTTAAAGTTCTGGTAGAGAAATTCCGAAAACAAGTAAAAAAAGGTACCCAAAGTATTTTATTTACGAAGAGCTTAAATTAGTTTTTTTCTAAAAGTGGTTAAAGATTTAAATGTTTAACTTGAATTCATTTTAAAAAAAATCTCAAACTCTACCCTATTTAGGGTTAATTATATATATTGGTGAAACCTTGAGGAGAAAAGTACATCATCAAAGAAGAGAAAAAGTGAGATTTCAAATTTCTCAATTCTCAACATTTCAGTAGACCTAAAAGAGTTCGAAGACCTAATCTATATTAAGAAAATGGATGTGAAATATATTGTGAAAATCATTTTATATTCAACTCTTTGGAAGGTCAAACACAAAAATTTATGGTAGATGATGCATGTTCTTGCCAATCCAATGAAGCTGCCTACTAGGGACAATTTCTTTCAATATTATTCATCAAAATTGATATATTTTATTTACGTTTCATGCATTTGAGACCAATATCGTTGATATTTTAATAATATTCAAGGTGTGAGGGAGATTCTTAGTGATTGGAGTGTTTTTATATAGGCCTCATTTTTGTGTACGTTTCTCGCATGCATCAATGAAGTCTCTTGATCTAAAAAAATATGAGTGAATCTCATGAGATTCACAAATCAAGAAAATAATACATACGGCAAAAGTTAATGAAGTTGTATATATATGCATAGCAAAATATATATATGTGGTAATTTTATCAACGTCATAATTAATTTACATATATCTATCAATTATATGTGTATTAATTAATATATAGTGATATAACATATATTTTAATTTTATTCATACTATTGCTTTATATATATACTATATTATTATTATTATTATTATTATTATTATTATATTATTTACATTATTGGCAAATAAGTATATGTATAACATTTAGTGTCTAAATAACCGTTAATCATAAAAGGACATTGTACTAAAAAAAATCATAAAAGGATATTAGGGATCAAAATACAATATTTACTTGCAAAATTAATAGTCAAGAACTAAAGGCAATAGGTTTATAAGTAAATCTTGAAGGCGTCCATGAAGATTGAATTCAAAATTCTCTTTCTTTCTCTATCTCTTCTTTATTCAATCTCAAATACTCTTCAAAGTTGTGGACTGTTGCTTATTAATTGAATGGACTCACATGGGCGGCACGTACGATTATTACCTCTCGTGTGAGTCAGAAACTACCTGGTAGTTAGTTTACAAGTTCTTCCCCCCTTAATATTAAGGCTTCTAGAGAGATTACTTTAACTAATTAAATGAGCCGAATTCGAGATTAAAGTTTGTGGATCACATTTTAACCTTTTAGAAGAAGTCAGGAAGTTTCATCATTCATATAGTAAATAAAAAGGTGTTGTATCCCAAAATTATATTTAAATTATTGGAAAATAGTAATCTTCATATCTCTAAAGTTATCTAATATTGAACTATATCCGGATTGTCAAAAAATATAGTAGGTCTTCGGTCCAATAGGTTCAATTCATCAAGTATTTAGTAAATTTTCTTAAGATTTGAATTTTTATCACTACATTTGTAATTCTTATTATATATATATATATTTTTTTTTTCTTTTCTTCTCTTAGTAATTAATAATAATCACAATGTGTAGATTTCATTTGATAATGATTTTATTTTTAGTGTTCTAATTTTAAAAATTATGATTGTTTTCTTATAATTGATTTAGTATGTTTTTGTTTAAATTATTTCTAGTATCAAATTTTAAAAATAAAAACATGTTTTAATTAAATAATTAAATAAGACTACTTTTAGTTTGTCAAATTTGGATTAAATTATTTTTTAAAAGTGAGACCATTCCATTAGAGAATGTCGTACTCGAGAAATTACATATAACAAAAGTAAAGGAAATTTATATAAAGACACGCTTATTTAAGAGAAATGGTGAGATATTATAATTACAAAATAAGTGAGATTTTGAACTTTTAGTTTGTCAAATTTAGATTAAATTATTTTTAAAAAGTGAGACTGTTTGGGGGAAAGAATACCCTGGACACGTGGAGGACAGCCATTGGTACTCCAAGGTGACCCATGAGTCATGCCCCAGCTCGGACCGCCGAGATCACCACCACTAGCGTTGACAGATGCTAAGTATGAGGGCCGAGGTGATCCTGGCCGAGGTCCGATCTACCTGGAAGCTCGGTGGGGGCCGACGTGAGCTACTGTCAGCGGCGTGATTATCGGGTGTAACCGTCGGTCCCGAGATTACCGGGTGTAACCGACGGTCCCGAGATTACCGGGTGTAACCGTCGCGAGATTAGCGGGACTACCACCCATAAGTAGAGGACCTCACTCCACGATCAAGTACGATGATTTCTGACCTCGAACTAAATTGGGAATCCGACCTATACTGACTTGATCGTCGGAGTGCTCACCTTTTTGTGCAGGTCCGCCCAAGTATTCAGATCGGTCCGGATGCCGAGTTCGAGCTGCAATCAGAAGTACACTGTTGTGCATATCCTTGCATAAACATTTGGCGTCGTCTGTGGGGAAACGACAATCTAAGTCATCCCAATTCTTTTAAACCAACACGCAAGCGAAAATGGTTCAACCCGCAAACTCGACCAATACGGCAGATCGAAGAACCCTA